GGGCTCAGGATGCAGCTCTGTCCCCAGACCCAGCAGGCCACTTGGCCGCCGTGCTGGCCTCACTGCTGGTCCTGCTGGCCCTGCTCCTGGCCGCCCTGCTCTACCTGAAGTGTGGGTGGGGGGGGGGGGGGGGGTGCAGAGAGCCTGTGCAGAAGGCGGTGTGAACGGGTGAGTGTGCAGGGCAGGCCTCCTCCTGGCCTCATGAAGGTGCCAGAGGGATGCCACTGTTCCATCCTGGGCCATCACGGTGGTGGCCTTGGGGCAGGTGAAGGTGAGTCGAGGGCCTGGTGTGAGGGGCTCAGAGTGACTCTGTTTGGTGTCTGGGTGCCCCGCTGCCATCCCAGAGGCAGCCAGTGCACAGCACTGCTTGTGACCGAAGTTACATGTTAACACGTCCTGTTCTCGTTTAACTGGCTCTCTGGGAATGGCGGCAGCCTCTGACCCAATCTGGCAGCCTGACTGACCCACCACAAAGACAGAGAGCGAGTCCTGCCAGCCCTGGGGTCCAGCCTGCTCAGCTGAGGAGCCGTGGAGCCAGGGGTGGCACCGTGCCCGGCTTGCCCGAGGAGGCCCTGGTCAGACCATGACAGGTAGATGGGCCAGAGGGACGGGCCCGGGCCCCATTTTACCTCCAGCACCTCCCTGGCGCCAGGCTGCCATTTAGCCCAGACTCTGCTCCCCGCCTCCAGGCTTGTGGGGGTGGGCACTGCTGGGGGGCCCAGGGCGCGGGCGGGGAGAGCGGGCTGCTGGGCACCGCGCCATCAGGCGGTGGCTGTGTGCTCTGACCCCTGCTCATGCTCAGTCCATTGATTTTAAGAAGAGAAGCTCAGGTCTCAGGAGGCAGGAAGGCTTGCCTGTGGTCAGCAGAGGGTCCTGGGACCCTGGCTCCCATCTCAGGTGGAAGGTGCTGGCACCCCCAGCACCCCCATCCCCCAAACCACAGTGCCCACACTCACTACAGCTCCCCAGTGGGGATGGGGCTGAGGCCTGGCGCCTGGGGCTCTCGTCCTGGGTGGATGAGCCGTCAGATGCTGGGGCCCCTTCTCCATGGGACTCGCGGATGGACATGGTGTGACCACCAAGCGGTCCAGGCCACTGGCCGGCCTTGTGGTTCCTGGCCCTCAGACTGTCTGTGAACAAGGGGAGCCTGGTGTCCTGAGCGCGGCTAACCCCCTGGGTCTTCTCTCTGCAGGCGTCTGTGACCGGCCCCCCAACTTCCTCTCCCCATCTGGAGACCAGACTCTGGGGCCTCCCCTGGGCAGTGTGGTCACGCTGAACTGCACGGCCTGGGTGGTCTCTGCGCCCCAATGTCCCCTGCTCCTAGTCCGGTGGCTAAAAGACGGGCAGCCGCTGGGCAACGGCAGCCACTATGACCTTCATGAGGACTCCTGGTAAGAGACCACCCTGGACAGCCGTGGCCAGTGGCCTCTCTGACCTACACCCTGGTCTGTGACCACCTGGACATGGCTGGGGAGTGACCTCCCAGACATGACACGGGCACAGTGCCCCTGTGGACACAGACTGAGGGTCAATGACCGGAGGGACAGGCGGCCCCGTAGACACTCTGCACACTGCCTGGGACCATGGGTGCCAGCAGAGTCCTAAGGCCTGAAGGAGGCACTGGCCATTGGGCCATGCCTGGGATCGGAGCACCCCAGGACCCAGACCCAGGATTAGGGTGGCTCGCTAGACAGATCCATAACCCCTCCAGGTTCTGCCGCTTCTCTTAGCTCATAGCCCACGGCTGCCCAGGAGGCCACACCTGCAGGCTCTCGGCATCCCGGACAGGCGGGGCTCCGGGGGTCCCCCGATGCTCTAGGGCCCCTGCTGAGAAGTTGGGGTCTGGTCTCCTCAGGGTCAAGGCCAACCTGTCAGAGGTGCTTGTGTCCAGTGTCCTGGGGGTCAACCTGACCAGTGCTGAGGACTACGGGGCCTTCACCTGCTCCATCCAGAACGTCAGCTCCGCTTCCTTCACTCTCTGGAGAGCTGGTGAGGGGGTACCCG